CGGATCAGGTACCAAATTGCAGACCTGAGCAGAGGTTGAAGATGACATTAATAAACTGACATGTCGTTTACATTTCAGCCCTATAAACAACATGTCATCTGTTTTCACTAACTTTTAATTGGAAAAAAAACAAATAAGGCACCCGCGACTTGAACCCAACCTTTCAAAGCTATAATTAACCTTGAACTATTTGGGCATTTTTTTGGTTTTTACTACAACTGATAACACATTGATTTTACTTTAAGTCTATTGCATTTTCTTGATACCATGAATTAAAAGAAAATGTGGTTGCTGAGACTTCAACCCAAGTCTCTACATGGAAGGCGAGCACACTGGCCACTAGGCTCCTTTTATTTTGTGTTACTTGTTCTTGAATAATCCATTATGTTTGAGCCCAAGCCCAACCCAAAGCAAAATAAAAACTATTCGACCCATAACCTTTCAAACCCAGTAAATTGTCAACTAGGTCAACCAACCTGGTCAACCCTGACTCGTATGTCCAAACGGGTTAGTCAAACCAGGTCAAAGGTCGATGAGTCACCTGACGTGTCAACACCCAACCCAAATGGTCAAACAGGTGGTCAAACTAAGTCAATGGGTCAAAGTGGCTCAAGTTGATTCGATCAAAGGTGAAACGGGTCAAGCCAACCCGGAGTCGAGGTGTGGCACATGGCCGGCGCGTGATGCTTTTGCTGACACGTAGCAACTTCTGGATGGTGCGTGACAGTGTAAAGTGTTCTAAAGATGTCATTTCCTTTTCTTACAAGAATAAAATGCATACTTGTTATGTGTTAGAGTCATGAAGGCCCATGTGTGATTAAATTGAAGTGTATTGAGACAATTAAAGAATTTATGAATTTATTCACGAAAATCGCTTCCTAATATTTTTCTTATGAATTTAACGTGTTTGGAATGATTTTAGAAAGGATATGAGTTGATATTAGGTTGTGGTTTATGGATTAGGGGTGATTTTGTCTCATTTATGCTGTTTAGGGGGTAAACTGTCATATTTATAAGGATTGATTTTGTCACTTTTCAATTGTGTAGGGACCGTTTTTATAAAAAGAAGACGAAAAGTCGCGTACAGGGGGGGCTGTTTACCCAATTTTCCAACGAGCTCCGGCGACCCTTCGTCTCCCTCTCTGATGACGATCCATCTCACCGTTTCAGCCTCCATCATCAGCCACCAAAACCACCGCAAACCGCCATCGTAAATCACAAAAACGCCGTGACGTTTCGTCTTCCACCACAAAGACTTTTAGCCTTCCAGGCCAGATTTCGCCGTTTTCTGGCAACGTTTTGGCTCCCCAAGACTGGATCTCCCTTCCCCACGGCCGGATCTACCCTTTGCAAGCTTCAACCGCTGCAAAAACCGCCGAAATCTGCCAAATCGTCGCTGTGCCTCGTCATCTTCCAACCCAGATCTTGCTCATTTTCGGCGACCTTTCACCTCCTCAAGACCTGATTTGAACTCCCCATCATCAGAGCTTTCCATCGGTACCTTTGGATCCCATTTCCGCCACCATTTTCCGGAAGACGCGCCGAAAAATGTTAATTTTTCGGCGAGTGCGACTGTTCATATTCCGGCTGTCCGTTGGTTGTTTTCACCCCTTTTTCACATCATATCATTGTCGGTTACCTCCTCTCTGCCATGATCAGCTCCGTTTCCACCGTTTCAGCCTCCGTCATCACCACCATGAGCAGCTGAGTTCCCGGTTGTCTGTTACGGTGTAGGCGAGATCGAGATTGACTCCATTGATCTCCTCATCAACTCTCGACTAGTTGGATGAGCCCGAATGTTGGACATTTGGTTAAGTTTCTTATATTCAGATTATATTTGTTTTCGTTTCATTTTGTTTGCGATGCTTTAATATTATTCTGATGCTCGACGTGTTGAATTGATAATGTCCATTGAGAACGTTTATTGATGTATAACTTTTCGCATAATTGAATGTCGGTTTGAGATTATTGAATGTTGATTATGACTTTAAATTACTTCGGTACTGATTGCAATCAAGTTGTAGGAACGTTTAATATCATTTTTACTAGGAATGCATTTGTTATGTAATTAGTTGATTAGATGATACAGGTTGATAGGTTGTACTTGTTAACGTTGTACCAACTAGTGGTATTTAAGGGTTTAGCGTTTTTCGGTTAGTCGATAATAGTCTTTAACCAATCGATCTGTAACTAAGATGATGGGGAGACATGATAGATTATACCTAGCTTGCCGGAAGCCATTTTATTGATTTGCCTAGCCTTGTAGGATTAGGAAATTGAAGAGCGAGGAGAGGAATTGTGAGAGTTGATCTTGAGTCAAACCGAACCCGTCCACTTGCCTATGAATGAAGGTAGTTTGGCAGCCTACCGCTGGTCAATCACTCAGCTCACATGGGGCTGGCTCTGATACCATGTGGAGAAATATTTTCTTGTATTTCATAATGAGATGTATAATGAATTTATAGCAAAAACAAAAAAACTAATCTAGGAAGTAATCTAGGAAGTAAATTGTTACATTCCTATTATAATTCTATTTCCTATTCCTATTATAATTCTATTTCCTATTCCTATTATAATTCTATTTCCTATATTACAAAGAGAATAATTCTATTTCCTATTTTACATTTCAACAAGGTTAAGATAGACAAAGCTCAAACTATTAGAGTTGATCTCCATGCAGGAAACATACCTGTTAGGCTGTTACTAATATAGCTACTGGTTCACTGTCTAATTACATACCTCTTTAAACCCAAGTAACCTATTATGGTGAAGCTTCTACTGTCCATAATTCATCTAATGCTAGAGGAGGTTTTATTCCTGGAAATAGAGTAAGAGGTAGAGGAAGGTCTAATGGCCAAGGCAAACCAATTTGTCAACTATGTAACAAAGCTCGGCATTCTGCCTTGCACTGTTATCACAGATTCAATATTAATTTTCAAGGTCCTCCTCTTTCAAACAAGGCTCGTTTCTCTTCTGTAACAACTGGCTTTGTTCCTAGGCCTGGTGCTGGTTTTACTGGTTCTACTCCACAATCAACAACCTCAACAAATTTCACAGGATATGTTCAGACTGAATTTCCCACTAATAACAATACATCTGCTGGTCCTCCCTATGCATAACTACTTTATAATAGCTTCAAAATTTGTCCAAATTTTGAAATTCTTGAAAGATGCTTTGTAGCGACAGGTTGTTGCATTATAGATTTTGTAGGGTAGGCAATTTGTCCAGAATTTTGTGTTAGATGTAATAAAGCTATCTGAGTTTTCATCATAGCTTTGTATGTATATTCTTGCTCTTAGTTAATCTTGGGACTTTATTTTTCTCATAAAGAATGCATCAATTTTTGCTTGAATGAGTTCCAAGTATAACCATATATTCTTCAATTTGAAATTTTAATATCATTTTCTTGAATCTTGAATTATTTTATTTATTTATTTATTTTTATCTAGGGCCTTGAAGTCATTGAGCTTGATCAGAAAACAGAATTAGTCCTTGAGCTTGATGGGCATGTCATGAGATGTGTCCATGACCAGAATGGGAATCATGTGGTACAGAAGTGTATAAAATGTGTACCTACGGAAAAAATTGGATTTATTATTTTTGCTTTTCGAGGACAAGTTGCCACGCTTTCTACACACCCATATGGTTGTTGTGTTATTCAGGTAATAGAACTCAATTTCTTGGTTGTGCAGACTTATTTTATTTATTTATTTATTTGAGATCCCATTTTGTTTGTTGAAACTAATATCTATTAATCTTTTTATTTATTTATTTTTTCTTTTCAATAGAGAGTTTCGGAGCATGGTTCAGATGAACAACAAGGTCAATGTATGGTGGATGAAATTTTGGAATCTACTTATGTTGTTGCTCAGGGCTAGGAGGGGAACTATGTTACCCAGGTAGGTATTGTGTGCTTTGTGCTGTTTACTTAATTCCTTAATTGTTGTTGGGTAGAATCAACTGTCTATTAAGTGCTTAGAAACAAGTCAATTTGTCATAAAATGTTGTATTTTTGCTTCTATATTCCAACGACAAATAGCTTATTATTGTATATGCCTCAAACTGACTTCTTTGAACAAGTTGATTACCAAGCTTACTTGTCTTGATTAGACTTGTAGTTCCCTTTAGCTTTTAGCACCGAGTTCATATACTTTGTTAAATAGTTTAGTCATTGTTGGCCTTCATTCGCCAATGGTCTTATGATCTCAACGGTTCGTGATATAGTTTCCTGAACAAGTATGTATTTCAGTGAGAAGTAATTTATTACTCTTCTGCTGCCTCATATGAAGAAAAACAAAATTGTATTAATGTTCAGCTTATAATGCTATTGTATAATATGCTATTTTTCGTGCCCAAATTCACCTATATAAAGGGACATACCCTCAGACGTAGAGGCATATTTTTACTAATAACATAGGTAGATCCATTTTCTCTCAAACTTTCCTTTTTATTTTCTTACTTGCCAAACATCTCTTACAATACTTTCTTTAGCTTGTATCTCTGATGATGGCTTAATCATCTTTAGAAATGTTAGATTAATCTATCGGATGACAGCTATAATAACAAATTTTCACCAAGATTAAACAGGTAATTATAATAATAATAATTTACACGCTATCTTTTTATTTGAATATTAATAGAACTAGTTGGTCCTTCTTTATTGTTAAATCAGGCATCCTTCATTGCATTGAATTATAGCATGGATCCTTTAAATCGCTGCAAAATCTTCATAACAATAAGTGGAAAAAAAACAGAAAAAAAAAATGAAAAACATTATTGTTTAATAGAAAGCAACAAGCTAAATTAGCATGTATACGCTCCTTATTTATGAGAAAACAATATATATAAAGTTGTTAAAATATAAACCAAATTCAAGGAAACAACTAGAACTGAAGAAATTATGTAAATTGACCACACCACATGGAAACATGAAACTCCAGTAAGTGAAAACCAAATACAACAGAACAAAATGTTACAATAGCCAAAGGTAAAAACATTATTCAAGTTGCTCTATTGTTTGTGGCCTGGCATGATACATATTTTGAAAGCCAATAAAAACACAAATCAATGCATTCACCAATATAATAAAACCATAGCATACGCCAACGTGAGTTGATCCAAAGAATCACCAATAACCCCAATATGATAGTGACATATGATCCAAAAAAACTCCAATAAAATGCCACCATGTCAATTGCAGATTCTTCTCCTTCTTCTCCATTGGCTGGTAACAAGGGTGGAGTTGGCGCACTGGTGCAGCTCTTATTAACTAGTGTAATGCAAAGACCAGAATTACCTACATAACTGCTTTCACCAAAGGTAGCGAACTGACCTTCATTAGGAGTCAGCCCAGACAAACTGTTGTACGATACATTAAAGACTTCTAAATAGTTTAACTCGGTCAATTGTTGAGGAATTTGGCCACTTAGTTTATTATGGGAAAGATCTAAGCTTTCTATACCTTTTAGATTGGAAAAACTCTTTGGTATAGATTTTGACAAGAAATTATTGGACAAATTCAATGCTTTGATTTCTTGAAGGTCTCCAATTTCTGACGGGATATCTCCAATCAAGTCATTGTTCGACAAATCCATTCCAGTCATAAAGTTAAGAATGTCACCCTTGTAAGAATCGTACCTATTCTTTGTCAAAAAATTCACTTCAAAGCGATGATATAAATATGGAAAATCATCGACAAACGAACTCAATGATAAAGTGGAATTGTAGTAATATGAAAAATGAGGCATGGACTCTTGTTCAAGTGCCAAATCTTTTGTGGACCTATGCCCATTATGAATATCACTTTGTCCTGTCCAAAATATCATCCTAATAAAGCATGAAGGTATTGATCCATTAAGTCTATTATGTGAAAGATCTAAGATGCTCAGATTTTTTAATTGACATAACTGGTTAGGTATAGGACCTTGTAGGTGATTGCCTCCCAAAAGAAGAACACGTAAACTTGAATGCTTATTGATCAAATTAGGAATACTTCCTGAAAATCGGTTGTCCCTCAAATTGAGCATCAATAATTTAGAGCATCTAAACAATGACTTCGGAATTGGCCCTGTGAAAGCATTCTTCTGCATGACAACTCTTGGATAAATGAAAAATTAAAGGAAGATGTAATGGGTCCAGTTAACCTATTTTCAGCGACATCTAAAATGGTAAGGGATGACAACTTGCTTAATTGGATAGGAATATTTCCTTCTAAAAGATTTTTTGACATTAGAAGAAGCTCGAGTTTTGAAAAGTTACCTATCCAGTTGGGAACTTTATCAGATATCTTGTTGTTGGAGATATCTAAGGCTTCTAAAGACGTAGAATTTAGTAATCCTTTTCCGATTTTTCCACTGAAGCTGTTATTGTTCAAATATATGTATCTCAAGTAAGGCAAGTTCATATATTGAGGAAATATTTGCCCATGAAAATTGTTGTTTGACAAGTTCAAAAATTTCAACGAGAAGCAACCGATGAGAAAATCACTGGGTAACTCTCTTGAAAATTGGTTGTTGGACAAATCCATCCTTGTAAGTGCTTTCATTTCACCCATTGATAAAGGAAGATTGCCTTCAAAACAATTATCGGACATGGACAAACGGCTTAAGGAATTCGAAAAGATCTTACTAATATTCTTAGGGAGTTGACCACTGAAATTGTTATGAGAAACGTCTACAGAGTCAATGGAATCATGTTTGGTGTTTGGCAGCTTAAGAGTTCTCGAGAATGAGTTGTTCACCAAATACATTCCTATCAAGTTTGTGTTATTTACTAACAACCAAGATGGAAATGTACCACCCAACTTATTATGAGAGAGATCAAGGGATAATAAGTCATATTGGTGTAGAAGAAAACTAGGGATGGCATGTAAGTTGCAATGAGTTAACTTGAGAGCCTTCAATTGAAATCAAGGGAACCAATTTTCATTTTCCACTTGATATGTGTTGTTTCTTGATGAGAGTGCAAATGCTTGAAGCTTTGAATGGTTAGCCCATGAACTTAGTGAATATTTTCCTTCAAAGTTATTTTCTTGGACATCCAAATATTCAAGAGATTTCATGTGAGTAATAGCAGATGGCAAAGTTCCACTTTAATTGATTTGATGAAAGAACAAGAACCTCAAGGTTGGTGAAGTTGGTGAGACATTGAGGGACTTGACCACCAAAATTATTGTATCCACTAACTCACATATTCCTGATGAAAAAGTTGAAGAAATCAGCCCACTGTTACAATTTGTGACTATGTCTAACAGTTTTATATGCATCATGCAGTAGTTTTAATTAATACTATATTAATTAGAAAACAATATATAAGTATTACGTACCCGAACTTGATAGAGAGCCATTCATTTCATTATAACCGAGGTCCAATGCTTTCAAATGTTTCAAACTCGCTAAACCTTAACAAATGAAGAGATAAAAAGAATTCGAAAATAAGATAGTTGGAAATTATAGAAAAAGTAAGATCAACATCTACGCAATTGTCAATTGAGAACAAAAGAGATAAAAACTGAAAGTAAATAATCAAACAAATTTGAAACAAGTATAAAATATTTGTAAAAGGTTATAATAAGTAAATTTATAGATTGCTTTCTTCTACTTTAATATTATAAATATTTTAATTTTCATACACCAATTGTAAAAAGAGTAAAAAATTCCTTTCAGTTTACCTTTGTATTGTGATGTGGCAACAAAAGAGTTGTACCACATCAATATATATACAAATTTTTATTTATATAATTAATTTCTTCATGCAGTTCCACTCTTTAATTAATTAATTTCTCAATATTACTCTAATTAAATCTATTTAATCTCAAATCTAATATAACCTCTGTACTTTATATTTTCTTTGCATTCTTTCAATTGATTACAACCACCAAAAATAGTAATATTTACTTGTTATATTTTGAAAAATTACTAAAATCATAATTAATTACTAAACAAAATCAATTTAGTTGTTTGTTTTATACTTTTCTTGCAATAATAAATTTCTCGAAATTATTTAAAAATCACATATAATTCAATATATTAGTTTTAAGATGTTTATCATCTATAAAACAAATAACCAAATTCAAATTTGCAGAGCCATAACTTTCTAGTTTTTATTCAAATTCAGATACAAGGAGCCATTGATCTTGAAATGAAAATGATAAATTTGTTACCTAACCAGGTTAGATCACCGCTTATGAAGTTGCCGCTTAGATCCAACGTTTCCAAGGCTGTTAGATTTTCTAATCCTATACCAATAAGAAAAATATTAGACTTTATAAATATGAAAATTATAAGATTAACTTAATGTTCTAAAGGAATGAATATTTGGAAAATTATTAAGATTAACTCAACATATCTATCTAAAACAATATATTAAAGAAATAGAAGTAGGAAATTAATAATATAAATATATTAATTTCACAATCTTTAAAAAGTATAAAAGATAACTATTTGAATTATTTTTTTTAATATTACGTAACTTGACTTGATTTTGAGCCAGTTATCTGATTATTAGTTAGATACAACACTTTCAACCTTTTCAAATTTGATAAACCAAAGAGAAATGAAAAATTAAAAGAGATGGGATATTACAGAAAATAAGGTCGATTGTATCTCAGATATCAATTTAGAACACAGGTAAATAACTTGGATATACTTATTTAAATTGGTAAAAGTCAAATTAATTAAAATTGTACCAGAAAATAAACTTTTTTTTTTAGCAAACTAGCAAATACAATGAAACATAGTTTAATGAGTAGATACTATACTATTGGTCTATACGAGCTCTTCAATGTATATTGATTTGATAAGTAATTGTCATTTTATTTATTTTATAAGTTTATTTAATTAATTCATTTTTTTTATTATTGTTTATCGACATATCATGCAAGCAGTACTTAGAAAAAAAGTTCAATTATAAAGGTGCTATTATTCATTTTAACATTAAAAGAAAATTTTGCAATTTTTTGATTTTTCATACTTCTAGCATTTGTGATTTGATTATCACTTAAATCCAATCTTTTCAAATTGGTCAAATTTACTAAACCTGCACCAATGAAAAAGAGAAATAGAATTTAAAAATCAAATAGGAAATTATAGAAAAAATTAGATAATTATGTATTCTCAAAGATTAATTGAGTTCAACAGTTAAAACTACAAGTAATTTGATATAATTTTTTAGAAAACTACTTTAGACTTAAAAGGTCAAGTTATTATAAAAATTTTCAACATTAACATATTTAAATTAAACTTTAAAGTATTATGACAGTGGATAAGATTATTAAAATATTTAGATCTAAAACTTTAACAAATATCGGTTGTCATTAATGTTACCTAGCGAAGTAAGAGAACCGCTCATTCCATTCCATGCCATATTCAACTCTTCCAAGTTTTTTAGATTTTGTAAATCGGCATCAAGAGAGAGTTGGATGAGAAAGTAGGATAGTGATGTAATCATACAAATGATAATATTTCAATCTTTGTATAGTAGTGCCATACTACTAAACTACTTATATAAGATCTTTTAAATAAATTAATTGATATGTTTGTAATGCCATCTATTTAATTTTTAATTTTATGCAAGAGTACTTGTAATTATACTTTTCTTCAAGTGTGATACTTATAGCATACCTAAACTGCTAGAGAAGTGTTGATTTGATTTCCACTTAGACCCAAGCTTTTCAGGTTTGTCAAATTTGCTAAACCTGCACAAACAAAAGCAAAACCAAAAACAAGAGAAGAAACAGGATTGAAAAGCAGGTAGAAAATATCAGATGATTGTAACTATTGGTTGTCATTAATCTTACCTAGCGAATTAAGAGAACCACTCATTCCATTATACATCATATTCAACTCTTCCAAGTTTTTTAAATATTTTAAACCTGCATGAAGAAAAGTGAAAGTAAAATATAGTTGTTATTACTTATTTGATGGGCCTTGGGCCAAATACTAAACTACCTATTGATATGTTTGTTATGTGATTGTAATATCACCTATTTTAATTTTTATTTGCATAATTGATAACTCATTCATTTTTAATTTTCCTTTGTATGCATTAATTTATATATGCACTTGATCTAACTTCTAATTTCTCTAAGTTTTTCAAATATTTTAAAAGGCTGAGTGACATTTTCTCAATCCAAAGTTTGGCCAATGTACATTTTCCAACCAATGATCTTTAAAAAAAAAAAAAAAAAAAACAAAACAAAACAAAACAAAAATTCGGCACAAATTTTTTAAAGTGTAATATTACTTACACACCTAAAACAAATAGATGGTAATTACCTTCATCAACTTGGAAATTAGTTACTTAAAACTTCTATCTTCAATTTCTATTAAAAATCTGCTACCCTCAAATAGCAATTATAATTTTATTTATTAAAAATCAGTTTATTAAATAAAAGAGAAAATTAAGTTTTTTGAACAAATGAAAAATGTATAAATTAATAAATACACCAGTTTTTAATAATTTAATGGGGAAAAAAAAAAAAAAAAAAAAAAAAAAAACTGCCGAGCCCCTTTTATCTTTCTCCCACACCCCACTGCCACAAAATCCTCCGCCCCCAATTTTCTTTCATACCTGCTGTTCACCTTCCCTCATCCCCCAAATCTAACAACCTCCAAAAACCCAAGTGCCCCACCTTAATCGTCTTTCGAAACCACTACGATCTCTAGCATGGCCACCTTCTCTAATTTATTTTCTTCTTTCTCTTCATTCTTGTTTTCCCTCTCTTGCTATTTGTTTAATGTTTTCATAGATTTATTCGTTTTCAAGGTGAATTTAATGGTTGTTTGGGGTGCACTGGTTGCTTGTGTTGGGTTAATATAATGTTTAGTTTGGGCATTTTTGTTTGTTGTGGTAATGGTTTAAGGGTGCATTGGTTGCGGGAATAGCACCTGGCTTGGTGCTATTCCAGGCCTAGTGTGAACTGGACGGTGGTGAAGGCTATGGCGACGACGGTGAGTATGGAGGCTGAAGAGGAAGGGGCGGCGACGAAGGGGCTTGTTACAACTGTGAACAGAGTAGTCAAGTGGCTAAGGATTGTCACCCGGGAGGCGACGGCGTTGTAAAAAGGTATGGTGGTGGCGACAGATCTCTTTAATTGGTAATATATCCTACTCTATTTTATTATAAAATCTCCAGATGGGACAAAGTATTGGCATTTAGATAAATCATTTAGTTATATAAAATCTTTTAAATAAATTAATTGATATGTTTGTTATGCCATTTATTTAGATTTTAATTTTATGCAAGAGTACTTGTAATTATACTTTTTTCAAGCGTGATATTTATAGCATATCTAAACTTGATAGAGAAGTGTTGATTTGATTATCACTTAGATCCAAGCTTTTCAAGTTTGTCAAATTTGCTAAACCTGTAGAAATCAAAACAAAACAAAAAACGAGAGAAGAAATAGAAAAGTAGGTAGAAAATACAGAAGAAAAAATAATAATTAAGTTAATATCTAAATATGAAATTGAAGCAATTTGAGAAGATGATTGTAACTTAATATTTTGATGGCTGTAGTTATTGTTACCTAGCAATGTTAGAGAGCCGCTCATTCCATTATGACTCAAATCCAACTCTTCCAAGTTTCTCAACATTTTTAATCCTGCGCCAAGAGAAACAATCAGATTTTAAATTGAAAAATTAATTTTTATTCATACATTATCATATTGCAAAGAGTGCTTCAAAAATTTATTAGATATTGCATACCTAGGCTTGATAGAAAGTTGTTGATTTGATTCCCACGAAGAT